TCCATATGTAAATGTTTGGGATGGCAAAACAATTTATTCCTACAGTTCACCCCAATTTAGATTTATCTAAATAAATGAAAGTAAATTATATTTAATTATTTCGGAAACTATCTCTCAGGGGTTCCCTAGGATTGATGCAGAGATCAAATAATAATCTTATACTGTAGTCTACTTCTGGGTCACTTTTTGTCATTATTCCTTCATTGCTTAACCTCTGTTTTCCTCTCTTATGTATTTACTTTTGAGACAGAGTGTAAGAATAAGAGTCATTCCTCACAAAATAATAGATTTCCTACTGATCCATAATAAAGATAACATTACCAGGAAAAGTTAATTAAAGCCCTGAAACTACCCAGGCTAACTGCTATATATACTGTTTATTATAAATTAAATGTAGCATTAAAATGGGGAAGAGAAATCTGCCTAGCATCACTGTTGCAGCATACTGAAGAAACAGATATTAATAGCAGTTTCCTTGGTTCTCCGTACTGTGCTAGAAATAACAATAACTGGGAAGGGTTGGTGAAAACAAAATGTTAAGAAACATTCAAATGAAAGGCTAAGATGGTTAGGTGATGCTATTCCACATGCTGGTCATTAGTTTGAAAGATACCATTGAATAGTGTACATTAGGGATGTCAAATTCAAGGCCCGCAGGCAGGATGTGGCCGCAATGTTGGATCCTGGAAATCCATCCTGCATCGCTTCAGCCTGGTCTACCCTCATAGTTTCAGCCTGGTCTACCCACATAGCTTTGGCCCCATCTACCTAATGCAAAGAGGAAACATCAGGCCAATGTAGCTTCGGCCCTGTCTACCCAATGCAAAGAGGAAACATGGCAGCAGTTTGGGGAGTGGCATCAAGCTGGCCATGCCCACCCAGTCAGCCACACCTGGCTGGCCCCCCGAGGTCAACCACAGCCCTGATGCGGCCCTCAATGAAATTGAGTTTGACACCCCTGGTGTACATCATCTTTAGTTTCCAAAGACTGATCTGACAAAGTATGTAGTACATCTTTTTCTAAGCTATAAATTCTAAATAACTTTTATTAGCCAGTACAGTAGCAGGACTGTATCAATAACTAAAAAAAAATATTTGTGCTCATTCTATCTGTTTCTGTCTCTCTCATACAAAAACACACACAAAGATTCTGAGCTGGTACAGTGTAAAAAAAATTGAGATAACGTTCTTTATATTTTCCATCAGAAAGATAACAATGACATGAGCTGATTTCAGTTTGCCCTTTTTTATTTTAGGACGTGGAAAATCAGGCCTTTCACAGAGAATGTCAAAGTCTGGAAGATCCAGTTCTTTGGATGGAGAGCATCATGATGGATATCATAGAGAAGAATTTGGAGGACCTCCAGGAAACAATCCTTCTAGAGGAGGAAGAAGTGGGAGTAACTGGGGAAGAGGAAGTAACATGAACTCAAGCCAGTCAAGGCGAGGAGGTTCTAGAGGTGGAGGAAGGGGTCGATAGAAGAGGTCATGACTGGGAAAAACCCAGTCTTTCCACTTGTTGCAGAATTATTACAAAAATAATTCTGCAATCCTACAAACATGGACTCTAAATGGAGATTAAGTGATTGTTCATTAGTTCCTAAGGAGGTCTTTTCCACCATTAAATACCAGCTAATAATACCATCACAACAACCTTTGTTTCATTTCCACACCATCCCAATCCTTTGTCATGCCTGTATTTCTTAAATTGATATCTGAAGAGAAAGCTGGGGTTTTTTGTTTTTCTTTTTCCTTTTAGTGATGTGAGACATGGAGCACATCCAGATTTCAGTTCATGTCAAGAACTTGTTTCTATATGTACAGTTGTCAGGAAAAGTTAAGTTGTTTTTGTATGAATACAGAATGCAATTTGTCCAAAAATTAACAAGAGTGTGTGATTTTTCTATACACGTTTTCACATATCATAGACAAATCATCTCCTACAATTTCTATGTACATTTTCTGTGTTGGATACATGCACTGCCACAGAACTAGCTATCACAGCTACTTACACAAAGTTTTAAAGCCTCACAAGTTCAGTTAGCATATTATAAAAATATATAAATGAAAATCACTTTTGTTGATTCCTAGAAATGTCTTTCCTTTCAGTAACCAAAATGAGCAGAAGAGTTTCATGTATAGATTACATAAGTACTCCTTGGTCCCTAGAGTGAGATATTTGTATAGTACAATAAGGACATATAGCTAAAACATATGAACATTGTTCTGTGATCTGATAATTAGTAATCAGTTCTGATTTATTCAGAAAAACATCCCAATATTTTGCCATCTGAGTACTTTGAAATGCAATGGAATAAGAAAAAAAAGATCGCTAACCCTTAATGAAAACCATTGAAGAGTCTGAATGGGCTTCTAAATTAAAGTCTTGACGTTGTTTCTGAAGCCATAATTTAACCAAACCATTTAACATTATTTTTTAAAATGTTTAGATGAACATGGCTTCAAAATTATCAAGAAAGAATACCTAACTTTAGTCTGAATATCTAGACATAATATAAAGAACCTTTACATATTTTCCCTATTTTCCTTAAAGGTGTAAGTACAGTTTCTTTCCATTATAGTACTGTATCTGTTTTACACTTATTTTACAATAAAATGTCCTCAGTTGAGATGTTTATTATCCAGTATTCTGATTCTGAGACTATTGAAGCTGTATTGATCAAAAGTTTTTACACATCACCATATGATTTGTCTTAGCATGATGTGACAATCCATCATGATTTGGCATAAAAACAAGGCAGTTCACTAACTTAATAAATGTAATAGGGTTTATTATAAAGTGTGTAAACAATGGTAGCCTAGGAATTTCTATATATCATGTACATAGATGTTGAGCCATTAAAAGATAAATTTGATTCAGTCAAATTTATATTTATAGATATTAAGTTAAAAACCTAGCCTTGATAAAAATTTAAAATATTTTAGGGTCAGCTATATAGTAAGCCAACCAACTTATTCAAAACACAATGAACAAGGCAATCACGGTCATTAGGAGTATGCAAAAGAGGCATATTTCTTCATTTTTGCAAGTGTAAGAGTCACAAAATCAAAACAATGTTTTGTATCTACACTCCACTTATTAGTTACATAGTTAAAGAAAAGTGAATTAAGCTACCTTGTAAAAGACTCTTAATTTTTTTTTCTATGAGAAAAAAATGACAAATTATAAAAGTTTGTGAATTTAAGTATCTACCAAAAATTTTCTCAATTTTTGGTAGATACTTAAATTATAAAGCCTATTCTATTTTGAATATCTTTGACTTTTCCTTACCAAGTAGAAGACATCAATTAACTTTGGAAATACCTATTTCTGCTCAAAAGTAAATTTGTCTCACCACTGTAATTATAAATAAACAGGATATTCTACATTAATTTTAAACATAGTAGTTCTCTTTAAAATTAGGATCTACATCACGGGTGTCAAACTTGCTGTGTCATGTTGCCGTCACATGACGTTTCAAGTTTTTCCCTTTCCCAGAGCCGGAGTGGGTACGGCACGCGCATGACACATCCAGCCCGCAAACCGCCAGTTTGACATCCCTGATCGACATCAAATTTTCAGTTGATGCTTATAGGAAAACTATAAATAGGATTAGCCATGTTTGTGATTGTGATGATGCTTCTTTTCACTTAAAGGAGGGAACAAGCAGAGTCTAATTTTTTTTAAAAAGCAGAATGATACATTTTTTAAAATTTGTTTTCCAGTTTTCACTGTAGTTAAGGAGAAGTCTAAATTCTGGGGTCCAGGGCAACTCACTCTGGCCAAATTGCTGCTGCCAGCTCGCCATCAGGATAACTCCACAGAGCCAACTACTCGTGGGGACCTGTCGTGAGCGACTGGTGGGCAGAGCACAGTGGGGTGGGGGCGACCCATTTTCCTATACCCTGCTGCTGGTGCCATGGCAGTGGGTCCAATTCTGGCATGGCGGTGGCAGCTTTGAGCTCAGTGTAGTGGTGGCTAAAACCGCAATAGCACTTAGACTTATATACCGCTTCATAGTGCTTTAGAGCCCTCTCTAAGTGGTTTAGAGGCAGCATATTGCCCCCAACAATTTGGGTCCTCATTTTACCCACCTTGGTAGGATGGAAGGCTGAGTCAACCTTGAGCCTGGTGAGATTCAATCTGCCAAATTGCAGGCAGCTGGCTGAAGCAGAAGTAGCTTGCGGTATTGCACTCTAACCACTGCATCACCAAGGCTCTACATCATGGTAGTGGGTATGTGAAAATGGGAAGCCCCCAGCTGCCACTTCCCCACTGGCTGCCCCAGCAGCTCTGTGCTCTGCCCACCTGCTCACCCAACTCTTTTTCTCTGGCTGCCAAGCAGATAACGAGTTTTCCCCAAAGGCAGTTGGCTGTGGAATTTTCCCGTGGCAAGTTGTGTGCTGCCTTTCAGATTTATTTCACTAATACAATAATCTCTCATTTTTCTTACCCTAAACCAGCAGACATAATCTAATTTTCATTCCAATGAAAACGTAACAGATCAAATTTAATATTAAGAAAATATAGAAAACAGTAAAAGTATATAACGTTTTAAATTCTTGATAAATCCCAAGAGTTGAACATCACAGAAAAGTAGTTATCCTCATATGCACAAGAATTTAAATAGTTACCCTGTTTCTCCAACAATACGGCCTCCCCCAATAGGAAGTCCCAGCATGTTTTATAGGCATGAAATGAAATTAAGCCCCTCCCCCCAAATGAAAACCTATATTAAAACATGTGAAATGGGGGAAATGTGGGGGGGCTTGCCATTAGGAAGTACTTTTGTTGCACACCCGGATATGGTGCTGCCTGCATTGACCCCGATACGAAGTGCCCCACCAACGCCGAGGTCAACATCCAAGCTGTCGCCGCCTGCCCGCCCGAAGATGCAAGGGGGGGAATTAAGTCACCCCCGAAAAGACGACCTAGCCATTTTTTCGGGGCTCAAAAAAAAATAAGACCCGTGCTTATTATATGAGAAACACGGTAATGAAAAAAAAATAGCTACTAGATTGGTACATTTGGCACAATATACTTCCATGTCCTTTGATTTTAACATAAAACATACCACATTTTAGACATTCTATTAAGTTTTTAAAATAACATTTTTCCTCATATGTCACATTATACCAGGGAATAGAAGTTCCACAGAACTTTTAAGGTTCCATTTGAAATTGTAGCAGATCTGTGAGAGACTATGACTGAAAAAACAATTTCTAAAAAACTTTGTATATCACTTGCATTTTCAATAATGGGAAATTTTATATGCCACAACTCAGCTGCTGACCTATCGGTTTGCTGTTGTAAATGTAAAATGTGCCATTATTTCAGTGCCATTGTACCTTGTGACAGCAAGAGACTAAATGAACTTGTAAGTCAAGGACTACCTGTATTTAATTAGAAATTATTTTCTAGAATGTGCTAGTTTATTAAGCATTTAAGTTAAATTTTAAGCCTACTTCCCTAGATTTAATGCTTTTGACTTCAGAGAACAACATGTAAGAGGTATGCTTTGCAGACTACAATTTTAAGAAAAATAAAATATACATTTGCACTGCAAAATTGTGACACCAACCCTGAATTTATGTAGTTTGTAGACGTAGTAACAAAGCAAACTGGGTTGTTCTTACACTTTTAATACAGGACAATTGAAGTAAAATAATTTGTAGATTCCTCTCAGTCCATTTCTCCTGCTAAGTGAGTATTCACTTCCGTCAGGAAAAAACAATCACTTGCCCTAATTTATATTGGGCAAATATTTCAGATAGCCAGATCCAGACCCAGTTGAATCGTAAGAGGGGCTGGTAGGAAAGCAATAGAATGAAGTCTTGTACAGCGCAGCCTTTTCCTGCTGATGTTGCACTGGCTGCTCAGTGGGAACGCTCTCCTGTTTAACTGGGCAACCCTTTCCCATCATGCCGACAAATTGGGAACCTGGAGCAAAGGTTTGGTGATCTTTCAAGTTCACAGGGACCAAGATGATTTGTACTTCTAACTAGTCCATCAGCTCACCTCTGACCATCAGTCTAGAACTCTTGAAAGATGTAAAGAGGGAAGAACTATGTGAGAGAAACAAGAAACACAGCAACGTAAAATGAGAGACAGCAAGAGACAGTTGACACTAGTGGGGTTTTTTCCCTTCAAACTGGCTCTTCAGAAATATATTTACCATTCCATTGTTGGAATGCACAAAAGGAGTATAGAATAAAGGAAGTGGGAATGATCAACAAGGCAAAAACTCTTGAGAAATAGGATTCCAGAACATGTACAGAAAATATGTTCATGCGTATGGCTTTACATGCTAATTTCACCATACAGATAATATTCTAAAGGAGCACATCTTTAACGAACAATATGCCTAACCTCATCTAACCCAGGTCTGTTCTGCAGTTCAGGACAAAATGGCCAATAAGGCAGTACCACTGACTGGAGTGGAGAAGTTGCACAGCAGTTCAAAGGCTAAGAGCAGCTGGACAAATCCCAGTCCAATAACGCCATCAATTAAATTATTGACAGCATCCTAATCACACCCACCCCAAAATTGTGTCAGAAGAAGGAAAACACTTCAATAACGAATAGGTAAAGGAAATGTTCAGCTGCCTCTCTTATAGCCCAAGAGTGAGAGAAATCATGAGGCTGTACATTTTAAAAATGGTTAATGGGGTAGTTTGTGCAATGGTAGGAGGAACACACAGACTACAAAACCTTTGGCTCCTTCTACCTGCCAACGTAGGTAATTCAGTTTTAAGTCACATCTTTTGTTTTACTACTTTAATACTTCTCAGCAAGCAAACAGCCACAGTGAGGGAACTGCATTATCTCCCGGTCTTTTGTCTCCTGGAATTCACCAAGTAGTCGCAGAAGAAACTTTCTGTTCAAGGAGTGATGGGATTCAGGCTGCATATCCTGCTCTGCTCATTACTTTGAAAAGTGGCCCCGGTTGCCTCCTCAAGGAACAGTCTTCCCAAGCCCGGGAGCTGGACTGCAGACGACAGATTAACTCACACTGGAAGAGCTTTAGAAACACTTCGTCGCACGAAGCTACCCAGGAAGCTGCCGACATAGCGCAACCCGGCAGAACCGCCAGGCAACGAGGAAAACAAGTAGGCTCCTCCGGCTCCCAGCTGAACTACAGCAGCCAGTACCGTGAGCAGCGTACTTCGGAGCCCGAGAGCAGCGTACAGAGTTCCGCCCACGGAGGCCAAATACAGGAGAGCCAGGCCGCGCCGGTCAGGATCGCCCAGGAAACGACTCGGGCCCCGCAAGAAACCAGCGGCTCCCAACGCAAAGGCCGAGCCCAAGGACCAGAGCAGCGCGAACTTCCGAAGCAGCAGGAGCGAGCCATAAAGCGCGGCGAGGCCGAAACAGAGAGCAGCCAGCAGAAGACACAGGGCACTTCCCACTAGTCTCTGCCAACGGGACATCCCTGTCGGTAGCCACGGATCCGGCTCCGGCTCGGCCGCCCCCGACCACGTTTCTGTCGCAGGGAAAGGGTTCATGCGCCGCAGCCAGACGCCCAAGCCCGAGTCGGTTTCTTCTGCCTCGTCCTGAGGAGGGGTCTGAGGAACTGACAAAACCGTCGAGCCGCCGCCCTTGGACTGAGCTAAATATTCTTGCAGTTGCCGGTTCAGATCTGCCATTTTGGCGAGGAGTCTCTCGGCCCGGTGCTTCTGTACCGGTGGGACGCAGCCGCCTTAACAAAGCGGCACCGCTAAGCAGACGGTCGACCGCCTTGGTTTGGTCTCTTTTAAAAAAAAAAAAAAAAAAAACAGGCACCAACTTCAAACACGTGATCCTCATTCAGGCAACTGCGTGCGTGCGTGCGTGCAATACAAAAGATGGGCGGAGGAGGAGCTTACGCAGGTAGCCCGGGCCTCGCGACTCTCCCACCTCGCCTGAACGAGAACATTTTCTGGACGCCCTTTGGACGGGCAACTTCGTCTCACCCTTTCGGCTTCAAAGGTATTAACTGCGCATTCGCAAAAGGCAGGAGATACGGGGGCGGTCCTACAGTCACGGGCAAAGACGCGATTCCACTATCGGTTGGCAATTGTTAGCGAAAGGACAGAACTTGGAACTGTAGCAGTGATAATGCTCAGAAACTGTTGTGCTCCTTGTTGAGGATGTCAACATTATGGCCCTAGAGTAGGAGTTCTTTATTTTCATTTTGATCAATACTTAATTTCTAAGTAAGAGGACAAAAAGACCCAAAAGATCAAGTTAGAGACAAACGGTCATGGGGAAAAAAATCTGTGTGGTCACTAGGAATTGAAAATGACTTGTTGGCATATAATCTGTAATCAAAGAGACAAAAATTGGTGATCATTACCCATTATTAGTACATTTGTGGTGACTATACTTTCTCTGGT